TCTGTCAAAACCCAGTCGTTTCCAACTACACTACAACTCCAAGTTTTGCTTTCATAAATTGTAAAACAGGCGTATTAAAATTGTAAAACTTGTTTTGTTTGTTTTTGTAATTAAAACATGTTTTAGTATTATCAACAAAACATTTTTTAAATGTTTTGTGTTCCTCTATTAAAAAGCAAAGGAAAATAAAAACATGTCTTTATTATGTTTTTAAGGATTAAAATTGTAAAACAAGCGTTTTAGAATTGTAAATTGTTTTTCTAATTAAAACATGTTTTAGTATTATCAACAAAACATTTTTAACAGCAACAAAACATCCAACTAAAAAATTTTTTGTTTTCCTTCATTAAAAACATTTTATGCAACAAAAACATGTTTTTGTCATGTTTTTAAGGATCAAAAATTGTAAAACAGGCGTTTTACAATTGTAAATTGTTTTTCTAATTAAACATGTTTTGTTCACCAAAACATTTATATCAACAACAAAACATCTAAATATTAGGTTTTTAATGATGTTTTTAATAATGTTTTTGTTGTCCTAAAAATAGATAAAATCTAGAAAAACTTTTTTTAAATGTTTTGGAGACTTTTGTTGTTTTGTTGTTAAAAATATTTTAAAAAGTGTGTCAGTTGTTGTTTTTGTTATTGTCAAATTCAATGAATAAAAGTTGGTTATATACAACTAAAAACTGACCATTTGAAAGCCGAGAAGTCAGTCTAGTCTTTATTTTTAGTCAATTCACTTCCCACTGGGAGGAACCAAAATTTTCTTTTCCTTTTTTTCTTCCTTGTCATTAAACTGCACAACAAATGGCCAAGAAAATTTTTTTCTTTTTTTCGTTCTTCAATTTTGACTCATTTCACTAAGATATTTGAAGCTTATAAAGATTGTTATGTTTAAATATTAAAAGTTGGAAGTGGATATTGACCACATTATTTTTTTTAAAAGATCCACCTTTTTAAATGGCCACCATCTTTATTAGAAAAGCTTCTTTTTAAAAAATAAACTTGTTTTCATGTTAAACTTGTTTTTAAGTTTACAAACTTAAGTATCAAGTTACTTTAAAGTTGTTTTTATTTTAAAACATAACAAAAACATGTTTTTATTAATGTTTTTGTTTTTGTTAATGTTTTTTTAATAATAGGACAACATCTAGTCTAAAAAATGTTTTGTTGCGAATAATAAAAACATGCTTAATTAACAACACAAGTTTTACAACTTTAAAAACGCCTGTTTTACAATTTAGAATAAAAAAAACTTGGAATTCTGGTGTAGTTGGAAACGACTAGGTTTTGAATGGACAAAAGAGAATATAAGGGGAAGGTTCGAATCCAACTTGTTGAAAATCGTCCTTTCTACGTATTTTTTTCTCGGAATTTTTTTCTTTTTGTTTACTGACCATTTTTTGCCTTTCAACAATTTTTAAAAAGTTAGTTTTTTAGCCCTCTCCCCTATTTCCTCCTTTTATTTTCTCTCAATCCCGCCTTCTTTCTATGCCTTTTTTATCTCCCTTTGTTGCTTCAAATTCCGGTTTTTTTGGCTATTCATATTTTCATTCAATCCTTTTCCTCTAAATAGGCCCACCACTTTTTTTGGCACTCTCAACACATTTATCAGAAAAAATTTTTTTGTTGCCGCCGCCAACATTTTTTTTAGTTTTTTTATAATAGTTTTTTAGTTTCCTCTTTTCTTTTCCCTCAACCAAATGCCAAAGCAGTAAAAAATATTAAATGAAGATAATACCCGAACGAACTAAAAAAGGGGGGAAAGGAGGAAATAATAATGTATGGCGGCATTTATTATTATTAATATTTTATTTTTTTATATTGATCTATAAGAGTGACCATTTGAGGAAAACGAGAAGGAAGGGAGGGAGTGTTATTGGGTGGTTTTGACGTTTTTTTTGTTTTTTTTCTTTGCCTATTTTTGTTTTTTTATTTTTGAAATATTTTTTTGTTTATTTACAGTCATTGACATAACGATAGGGGCAAGATAACTGAAATGAAAATTAACCATTTTCTCAGTTAAAAATTAATTTTAGGGGAATTTTTTATTTTTTTATTTTATTTATTTTATTAACGTTTCAAATTTTAAACCTTGCCCCACTCATTTGCTATTTTTTGTTTGATCCCTTTTGACCCCTTAATTGACCCTACTCGAGACCTCCATGAATATGTCGCCTTTTCCACCTTTCTTGTTATGCCAGCTAAATTCTTGAGAGATGCCACTTTATTATTTTTATACAGGGATTTGGCTATATACCCTTAAACCAGACTTTGGTAATCTTCCGCTTTACTGGTCCCTAGAAAAAAATGGTGAAAAAATGCTAGTTTGACATTTTTGAGGCATGCAAGTAGGTAATCGAGTTTGCTGAGTCCAAATATGAGCCTAGAATTTGTTTATTTCGAACCCAGAACCCGAATTCGACCATGTCAAAACATGGGGTATAAATTCTAAATTTTGTTTAATCTGACTTGTCTCTTCGAGCTGAGTCGATTGGTATCAAAATTATTACATTCCGACATTTTTAGACTAAGTTATGGTGTCTGATTTATATACTAAGTCTAATCAAGCGTATATTTAACTGATCATAAGTCAGTCTAAAGTTGTCGAAACAAAATAATTTTGATATCATTTGACTCAGCTTGAAGAGGTGCGTCAGAATAGCGATAGCCTAATAGTTTCGAATTTTTACCCCGAATTCGACTTGGTCGAATTCGGGTCCTTATAATAAAAAAATTCTAAGCCTATATTCGGACTCAGCACACTTGATTACCTAATGACAGACCTCAAAAATACCGAAAAAGTACTTCTACCACTTTTTTTCTAGGGACCAGTAAAGCGGAAGATTACCCAGACTTTGTAATGTACATGGATTTTGGCATCCGAATATTTACAGCGGATACAGGTGGATATCCTCAGGCATTTTGAATTTATCTGTATCCGTATCCTTTACCTAGTCTGCCTTAAAGTTTAATTCCAATCGCTTAGAAAATTTTTTAGGAAAATTAAAACTTCTTTACCGCCTCTTCTCGAAAAAAATTTAAAACAGAGGTGGCAATTTAAAGTTAATTAATTATATACTTTTTATGTGTTTTGTCAACAATTGTCACACACACACACATTTTTATTTTCACTTATTTATTTGACCATTTAATAGAAACGAGACCCTTTGATCTACCCTCTATTTCTTTTGTTTTAAACTTTCCGAATTGTCACCATTTTCAATAAATTATTTGAAAGTGTGAGGGAGGATTAAGCCTAGTAAAAGGTCATTAACTACAATTAAAAATACCATTTGAGTTCTGCCATTCTTTGAAAGCCAAAAAAAATTTTGTCTCCCTTTTGGAAAAAATTTTTTTCCGAAATTTTGCAAGAAAAATTTTTTCAATTCAATTTTTAATCAACTAAATATTACTGACAACGTTCTGTTTAGGGTTGCCATTTTCGATTCGAGCCAACGGTTCATTTTTTCGGTGCATTTTTTTCGAGCTTGATTCTTTTTCGATTCGGTTCGTTTTCGAGCTATTCGAACTGAAAACCCTCGGCTTGCTCGATCTTTCGAGTTCGGTTCGAGCGAGCGGGCACCCTAGTTCTGTTCTTTTAAAATTTTTTGGATTTTTGTAAGATGAATAAACTAACTTGACAAGCTATTTTTTCTTGTTAAACTATATTAGAAGAAAAATTCTATCCCATTTTTTATTATTAATTTATTTTTTTTCTTTTTCTCATTATTTTATTTATTACAATTTAAAGCATCACTACTCTATTTATTCATTATCCCCTCCTATCACCCCCTTCCCCCATTACTTTTTCATTTATACAAACACCATTTGGTGGTTTGGTCATTGCCACTTTATTTTTTTAATGTTTGTGAATAGTCAATAGGCCAAATAACTTTTTTTCCTTCCTTTTTTTGCCAAATCTTAAGCTTAAATCCTTCCGTTTTTAACCTTTTTAAGAAGAACTTTTTAAGAACAGTTGACCTTCTCTCTCTCTTAAAAATTTTTCCCTCTCTTGTAAAATTAGAAGAATAGAGAGGGGAGGGGGGGGGGGCAAAAAAGTTTTTTCTAATTTTTTTGTTTTTCTTGCCCAACTTTCTTCCTATTTTGCCAAATAATAAAAATTAATAGTCGTGTCGGGACAAAACACCGTCCGACCAAAATACCGTCCAGACTCGGAGTAAAAAAATACCATCCGGATTCTCTTTGAGTAAACAAATTTTAAAATAAAATTAAATTTTTAGGCCTAAGAGTTGAGGTATTAACCAAAACCCAATAGCCGTTAAGTCTAAAAAATAAGATAAACATAAGTCTAATCGTTGGACGGTATTTTTGTCGGACGGTGTTTTGCCCTTTCCCCAAGAAATATTAATAAGAAGCTCCCCTCTATAAAAAAATCTGTCAGTTTTTGCCTTAATAAATATATAAATTATTGTATTTTTATTTTTTTCCAATCGAATACATATAGGAAAAGAAAATGGAAGCTATAAATAAAAAATAATAAAAAAAGTGAGAAAATGCCCCCAAAAATGGAAATACATATTTATTTTCTTTTACTTTTCGTTTTATTTTTTTCTATTTTTTCATTACTTTTTTGATCAATATATTTATAAAATTTAATTTTTTTAATTTTTAGTGGTTTATCAAGTCGTTAAGTCATAAAATCCGTTTTTTAAAATTTTTTTCTAATTACGACCAAATGTCCCATTTTCCACTTATCGACGTTTTGAAAAATTATAAATTGTGGCAAATTGTCTAAAAATCAATTTTTGACCATTTTGTCCAAATATTCGATTTGATTAAATGTTATCTTTTTTCCTGTTTTTGTTGTTTTGTTAAATATTTTGGCGTCCTTTTTTTTTGAAATTTTACAAAAAATTTTTCCAAAATTTTCCAACTTTGCTTCCAAAATCTGGCCTTTCTTTTATAACCAAAATTGGCGTGCAATGTTTATTTTTATGAATATTTTCGCGCTCTTCATCAACCACCAAAACATTTCAATTGCTTTGCCCTTTCAACAAATGGTGTGTTTTTTCCCTTTCTTTCTTTTTGTGGTCATTTCCTCTCTCTTTTACTTGGGGAGCTAAACAATTTCGGAGGGAAAACAGAGGAAAACAACAAAAATAAAAGTAACGGAAAAAAGAAAAAAGTGAGGGAGAGGAGGGGGGGCAACACACAAATTTTGTTTTGCCATTTCCTTTTTTGTATTGTTGTTTTGTTGGGTTTTGTGGTTTTTGTAGATACCCTTTTGTTACTTTAAAACTTCCAAAAAAATCTATATAGGTATATTCCGAGATTAAAACAAAAAGTTTTAGAGAGGCCTTGATGTGTAAAGAAAAATGTGAGGAAGGGTGGGGAACCTTGATTTTTCCTGATCCGGATCCGAAGTGTTCCTTGATTTTTTCTTGACTCGAATTAATGAAATGGTCGAGGTACTCAACCAAAACTGAAATCATGGATCTTTAAAATTCTAGAATTCTAAAATTCTAGAGAGTTTCGCGCACTTCTTTTCCCATTGACCCCTCATTTTCATCGCGTTCAACTTTTATTTTGTTTTTTCGTTATTTTAAAATTTTCAAAAAAATTTTTAATAGATGCCTTTAATATTAAATTTATTAAACTTATTTTCTTCAAAAATTCACTTGGTTTTATTCACTTTATGGTTATATTCACTCAATGTAGAGACACGCAAAATTCATTTCAATGAATTACCAAAAAATTATTCTGCCATTATTGGTTAGTTTTTGTTTTTTTAAATGGGGGCTTAAAGACGATATTTGGAATTGTTAATACTTTAGAAGGGTTTTGGTACGAACTTTTAAGGAAAATTTAGTCATAGAGATCCTCAATCCACTGATAGTTTACTGTTGCAAGGATTTAACTTCCTTAAGATTTCGCGAATTCCGTTTGCATCAACTCATTGTCATTGTTTCCCCTTAAAAGCTGTCATTGTTTCCCCTTATAAGTTTGACACAAATTTCAAAAAAAAAATTTCAATTTAAAGGCTCTGATATTTTACTCGAATGTTCAATTGCTCAAACTGATTCTCCATTTCAAATTCAATGGTATACAAAAGACAGGATTATGGACAAAGAAAAAGATGATGATATTGTTCCTGGTTTTTCTGGACGTTACAAGTTTGTTTTCATTTTATTAAATTTGGGAGTTTACTTGCGATAAAATGAGTGGAATTTTCTGTTGTGATGTCTGTTTTAACCAAATTCTTCTGTTAAACGTCACGAGAAACCGAATTCAAAATCATTTGTTTTTGTGTTCGGTTTGAAACCGGCAACCCTAGTTGTGAGATTTTACTTGGGAAAATTGATGGATTTACATGTTGAGGAAGGTTCGAATCCTTTTGTCTATACTTGGTTTTTATTTCTTGTTACTAAGGGTCAATCCCCATCAATTAGAGCTCCTAAAAATTTTCTGAAATTGCTGGTAAATTTTCCTCCTTTCCTTTGTTTATTTTTTAATTAAGAAAATTTTTTATTTATAGGTTATTGAAAGAATCAAATGATGAATTAAACTTGGCTATCTCAAATTTGACTCTTGATGATGATGGAAAATTTCAATGTCAAGTTATTGGGCCAAATGGAGTATTTTTGCGTTCGCATGATTTTGTTGAAGTTTTGGGTATTTTTTAAATTTCATTTTTTGTCAAAATTTTGAAAATTTATCTCTTTGCACTTTTCTCTCCATTTCACTCTTTTCTTAGCTCCTCAATAATTTCTCTCCTTTCTATTTTGATTCTTCTCCATTATTTTATTTTTTGTTGCTTTTAACTGGGTTTTTTAAATTTTTTATAAATTCTCGCTTGTCTATATTTAATTTGGTAGAAATTTTATTGATGAATTGATATCCGTTTGAATCAGGGATAATCGAAATTTAGTTTATATCGTTTTGATTCGCCCCGAAACGAAGTAGAAATTCTTTTATTCGATCCTCTCTGGTTTGATTTTTATATTTTGGGCTTTCTAGGCTTATTGGAATAGTTTTTCTTTTTTATCCAATACGACTTTTTTCTTTCTTTTTTAAGCTTGTTTATTTTTTCAAAATTTTTATTTCATTTTTCTAGTCCCACCTCGAACTGTTCGTTTCGAAAATTTTCAATCTGGACAAACTTTAATAGTCAATGAAGGCTCACAAATTAATTTAACTTGTATTTCTGAACAATCAAAACCTCAGGTTTTTTTATTTTTTAAAATTATTTTCAAAAATATTTTAGGCTGATTTAAATATTTTTTTGAATGGAAAGAAGGCAACAGAAAATATTTTTAGAAATTTTATTTCATTAAAAAATGGAACAATTAATACATTTGCAAGCCTTGTTTTAAGGCCAGGGTATTTTTTAAATTATTTTTTTATTAAAAAATTTTTTCTTCAGTAAAATTCATCATAATATTGTTATTTCCTGTGAAGCAACTCATTCTGAAACGTCTACGAAAATGAGAGATTTTATTACTTTGGATGTTTATTGTAAGAAAATTTTTTTAATTTTTAAAAATTATTTTGGGCTCATTTTTAATTTGGCTTTTTACTAAAAAATTTCTTCAAACTTGTCCAGACATTTTACCTTTCCTAAACAATTTTTTGGGGACCCTGATTTTTCCTTTAGCTCTTCATACCTGTTTTTAGTTTTTCAATCTGGCAATTTGTCGACATTTAAAATTAGCTTTTCTCTTTTTTTATCAAATTGTGGCTGTCTTTAAAAAAATTTTTACGCTTTTTTGTAAATTGTTTTACTCATTTTCATTAAAATTTAAAACAACAAGGGAAATGTTGATTTAAAAAATTGGACAAAATTTTTTAGAAAAATAAGACTGATAGATTAAAAAGAGAAAAATCAGCATACCCAATAATTTTTGGGCAAGAAAAAATGATTTGGCACTAGTTTTTGTTAAAATATAGTCCTGCTCTTTTTCATAAAAATACACGAAAAATTTTTTTTATTAAAAAGATTCTTCTGATCGCCCAAAAATTGATTTAATTGGAGGAACAAATGGTGGTGATACTCCTCTTTTGGCTGGTCAAAATATTACTTTATTGTGTATTGCTGAAGGGGGTAATCCATCACCACAATTGCTTTGGTCTAATAATCAAAAAGGACAATTAAATTCAACTTTTGTTTATGATGAGTCTAGTCAGGTTAGTTTTTATGAGTTTTTTGAATTAAAATTTTTTTGGCACTTCTAAAAAAGTTTCTAACACCGAACTTTTCGAAATTTGACTAAAAAAATTTTTTTAATAATCGTATGGAGCTGGTCGATAACCTCTTGCCAATTTTTGGCAATTTTATTATGTGTGTGGTGAAGCCAAAATTGAAAAAATAGGTTATCGACCATGCTCTACACCTGATATAATTTTTATTAAATAATTTTTTGTCACGGTTCGAAGAGTTCCCATGTAAAAGGGAAACTATATTTAGTGTTAAAAGGAGAATTTTCGAAAATTAAAATTAAATGGAACCCTTCAAAAACAATTTAAAAAAATTTTCTTTTTTATAGATAACTCAAAACGAGCTTTCCTTTATTCTTTCTGGTGCTGATAATGATGTAACTTTTGAATGTACTAGTCAATCACATTCCAATATGACACCTTTAATTAATCGAATTACTCTACATGTTGATTGTAAGTATTTTTAAAGAATTTTTCAGAGCTTTTTAAAAATTTTTCTAAATTTTCTAGACCCTCCCGCAAATGTTTTTCTTTATGGAAGTACTGTTGTTCGAAAAGGGGAAGCTTTAACAATGTCTTGTACTTCAAGGTTATTTTTTAAAAAAATTTTGAATATATTATTTTTTTTGTTTTACAGTGTCTCCTCTCCAGCAGCAACAATTACTTGGCAAATAAATGGGTCACCTACTCAAAAACAAATACAACATAAAACTAAACAATTACAGGTTTTTGTTTGATTTTTTAGATTTTTGTAGGAAAGAATTGAAATTTTGGTCATTCTGAAAAATTTTGATTTAGAATTTCAGAATTTTTATTATACAAAATAAAAAGTAATCAAATTTCCCTCCCTATATGGGTATCGAACCTCCGCCCGTTCGAACCTGTTCGAACAAAGCATTACCCCCACTACACCAGAAATGATGTTTCTCTTGGAATTGTTATATATTATTTTGCTGGGTTTTTAATCTGTTGTGTAAAATAAAATTATGAAAAATTACGTGAAACCCATTTATTTGAAAATGTGTTTTAAAAACCTTGTAATTGTTTGGCGAGAAAATATTTTTAATTTAATATTTTTTTAGGGTTTTGTAACTCAATCAAATATTACAATTGATTCAACGATGCTTTTACATGGACAAAATGAAATTTTGGTGGCTTGTATTGCTAGTAATGGTGTTGAACTTCCAGTGCAAAAATCTCATATAATTCGAGTTTTATGTTAGTTTCTTTTAATTAAAAAATTTTTTATTGATGACCTTTTAACCTGTTTATTTTTTAATTTATTCTAATTTTTCATTGAAAATTTTTCCTCTTTTTTAGCGCCACCTTCACATCCTGTCATTTCTGAAAGTGAAACAAATACTGTGCCTTTAGAGGGTGTTTTATACAATTTAACATGCGAGTCTCAGGGAGGTCACCCATTTGCTACAATTTCTTGGTTTCGTGGAGTTGAGAAGGTTTTTGAGATTTTTTATAATTTTTAAAAAATTACGAGGGCCTTGAGATTTGAGAAAATTAAAATTTTGAGAATACATGGTGATTCTACAAGGAGTAGAGATTATATTGGGAAGTCATATTAGGTGTGACCGACGGTTGTTTTTAGAGTTCGATCCCTTAACAATTCGATCCCTTAACAATTTTTCTAACTTCATTGTCTGAATTTTTGGGGTTTAATTTTAAAAATCTTTGAGTATACATATTTATAAAATATTAAAGAATTCTGGCAAACATTTTTCTTCTGAATTACTTACCCATAATAGTTTGCAGCATTCTCATCATAAGAAAAAAATCAGATGGAAACAGGTTGAGAGAATACCTAAATATAGTATAGTTAGTCAATTGTTTTTGGTGTTTGGTTATCTTTACATATGAATTTTTCTTTAATTTTTTCTCCTGTCATTTGCCTCTTTTTTCTCTCTGTTAGTCTGTGAAGTCTGTGAACCTGTATATATTTAAAAAAAATTTTTTTTTCATTTAAAATTAATTAATTTTTATTTTTTCATAGTTAAAAGAAACTGAAAATACGTTAAATGGCGATAGCTCAATTAGTACCTTAACACTTTTACTTGATAGAGCAATGAATGGTCAACAAATTCGTTGTGAAGCTGAAAATGGTGCTACTGATTTACCTCTTATTGCTAAAAAGAATTTGGTTGTTTTGTGTTAGTTTTTTTTTAATTTTTTATGGTTTATACTTTTTTTAATTCATTGAATAATTTTTCAAAATTAAAAAAAAATTTGTAGTTCCACCAATTCAAGTTCGAGTTAAGCCTACAAGAAATGTTCATATGGTAATACTTTTTATTTTTTTCTGAAATTAAAAATTTTTTCTTCTAAAACAGATTGCCAATTCCCCAACAGAATTATCTTGTACAATTCCCTCCTCGAATCCTATGGCTGAATTAAGTTGGGAATTTCCAAATACTGTGGATAAGCAATTGACAATATCAAGGAATGGTGAACAAATTAGAAAATCGAGCAAACCGTTGGATTAAAAAATTTTTATTTTTGATTTTTTAAAATTTTAGTGTTGGAGAATATCACGGCTATGAAGCAGAAAATATTATCCAATTTACTCCGACTGAAGCAATGGATGGGGCTGAAGTTCGTTGTATTGCTTCACATCATTTATGGAATGAGAAGAAATATGGAACTTTTGCTTTGGATATTAAATGTTTGTTTATTTTTTAATTAAAGCAACTTTTGATATCAATGCGAATTTGGTATATTTTAACTGTACAATTCTATAGAGGATCCCAGACTATTGTGAAGTGTTCTGTTTTCTTGCAAAATGAGTTTGATGAACATTCAATGTTTCGGTCTTTGGGAAACTAGAAAGTAGGCTTGCAGAAAAGAGGAACTTTGCACGTCTATAACTTCCTTTAAACTCCTTTTGTAAGTAAACGGAATCTTCTTTGTAATTTATAAAATGGTCGAAAAAATACATACATCTCGAAATTTGCACTCCAAGTGAACAAAAAATAAAAGAAATTTTTTTACTAATGAAAAATTTATTAAATTTTTTTAATAGATCCTCCTCGTATTCCAATTGAAGGTCAAATGTCAATACTTGTTAGAGAGGGACAATCCTTTGAAGAAAATGTAACAATTTATGCAAATCCTCGAGTTAATGCTTATGCTTGGCGCAAGGATGGATTTACTATAGATCGTTCTATTGGGACTATCTTTGTTAGACAATCAGTTATTGGAGGTTTTTTTTTATTTTTTATATTATAGGGATATTTCGTTTAGTAATGGTGATTCATGAGTCTACTCAAAATTTTGGTGTTTTTTCAGTAGCATTCTTTTGCTCAATTTTTCTATTTCCCTCAGTTCTCTTGCCAAAAAATAATTCTTTATTATGTAGTAGTTAATTGAATTCCAAAGCACAATGAGGAAAATAGAGGAATAGTCACAAAGATCCACACCAGGGCTGGGCGAAATCTAAGAATAAAAAGCAAAACTTTTCTTGCTGAAAAATGTGAAATATTCGAAAGATGCGAAATTAGCCCAACCCTGATTTACACACAAAATAGGCCACACAAAAATTCCACAAGAAAGTTCCCCATCTTATTTTTGTAGTATGGAAAGTAAAAGAGTTTTATTTCATTTTTTATAAAATTATTTTTTCAATAGGTATTGGTGTCACAAAAGAAGATACTGGTATTTATACTTTATTGGTTTCAAATGGTGTAGGGACAGCAAATGCTACAATTTCTGTTTGTTTTGAAAAAGTTTTAATTAAAATTTTTTTCTTTTAGTTAGTTGTTGAATATGCAGCAAGAATTGTTCGAATAAATAATCCTGTTATTGCTAGGTTTTTTAAAAAAAATTTTTTGAAATTAATTTTCCCGTTCAGTATTGGTGAAGATATTGTTTTAGAATGTGAAGTAGATGGAAACCCATTAAAACTTGGAATGATTAGATGGTTTAGAGGACAAGAAGAAGTCAAACCTTTTTTGTTGGAACAACACCGTTCTGTTTTGAGAATAATTGCGACACATGAAAATAGTGGGGCTTATACATGTCTTGTAGATAATGGAATTGGAAAGGTTCTTTTTCAGTGATTTTTTGTTGAAATAATGGGATTGGTTTATGACAACCTTTTTTCGATATTTTGCTTTTTTGGGAAATTTTGTAATTTTAAATATCCTTTGGCTAGTATTTCGGTTTTAATGAAATTGTTTGAGATCAGGAACCGAGCCGAAATTGCTCGGTTTCTTGTTTAAAATTATTTTAATTTTTACTTTTTTTTTGTAGCCAAATTCTTCTATTGCTTACCTTTTGGTTCGTCGTGCACCTGAAATTGTTAAAAGGCCGGGGTTTAATCGTGCCGCTGGTCCACTCGGTGGAAAAGCAACACTTCGGTATAATAAGAGAAATTATTGTATTTATTAAAAATACTTTTTCTAGTTGTCGTGCTAGTGCTGTTCCAAATGCAGAATTTAACTGGGGTATTGAAGATGAAGGGCATATGATTCATCATAATACAACAAAATATCGCTTTTTTGACACTCAATTGGATCACACAACTTTCCAGGTTTTCTTCTTCCTTTTCTAATTTTAAAAACACAATTTGTTTAAACTTTAGAGTACTTTGACAATTTTAAATTTGGATGAAAGGGATTACAATCGTCGCTATAGATGCCGAGCTTTCGTAAGTTTTTTTATTTTTATTATTTTTCCTTTTAACACTGCCTTTATTATTTTAATATCGAACCTCTACTGAAACCTGACTAGATATAACTCGGACCAAAGTCATTTTGCAAGACCGCTTATTACCCCGCAATAGGAAGTCTTTGGTTCTCTATCGAATAGTACCAAAAATATAACAAATTTTCAGTCAATTTCTGTCTCTTTTATTTAAGACTTATCTTTTAAATGTTGATTAGATACTGGGTGGAAAAAGCTTTCTAAATGATACTTTCTATTTAAGATACAGATATTATTCTACTATTTTTTAGTTCCCAAGTGTATTTTATGCTGAACCTCGACTCTATCTCTATTCTTTGTTTAATTTTTTACAGAACCGTCTCGGACATGCCCACTCATTTATTTCTGTTGGTCCACCAAGCGCACCTGAACAACCTTCTGAAATTGAAATTATCAATATAACAAATACATCTGCTTCAATTTCATGGATCCCAGGATTTGATGGAGGCTCTGACCAATTATTTGAATTAATATATCAAGATATGGATGAAAATCAATTATTTACATTAAATACAAGCCTTTCAGTAAAATTTTTTTAATTTCTAGATAATTTAAAAAAAAAATTAAAAAATTTTTTTTAGAATATTATATTAAACGACTTGAAAACAAAGCATGGTTATTCTCTTCAAATTAGAGCAATAAATGCGAGAGGTGATATTTCTGACTTGACCCAACCTTTAATGTTTCACACATTGGAAGAAATGCCTCAAAATGGTGGAATTGGTGATAATATGCTTTTAAAGGTTTTTGTTTAGTTTTTTATGGGGGTTTTTTGTGTCAGGCCTCACTTTAAGATACATCCAATACTAGTTACACTTCTATTTTAAACACTTTTTTAAATAAATTTATTGGCCACTGGATTCTTAGAATATAGAAACGATTTGAAATTTCTTTGTCAGCTAGAAATTTTTTGGTCTAGACTGTGCCCCCAACTTACAATTTAATATAAACCTCATAAATATAATTAATATTTTTTTATTTTTTTTTCAGAAAAGACTCATAAGTCATTCAACAATAATTGCTCTAATTTTTGGCCTTTTGGGACTTTTATTGCTCAATATTATTTTAATTTGTTATTTAAATCGAAGAAATAAGCGGCGTAAAATATTAGGTTTATTTTAATATTTTTTACAATTTAAAGAAAAAATTTTTTTGTTAGCAAGAAATTTACAACAACAACAACAAAATGGTTCTTCCTCAACAGGAAGTGGAGGTAGTGGAAGAACAATTCAAATTTATGGAACAATGAATGCTTTACAAAATAATTTTCAACATCATCAACCTCAAATAATCCAACCACAACAGAATGTAAGGAATGGATCTATTTGCAACCATTCTGATGTTCAAATTGTACAGCAAGATCAATCTTTTATTGAAGATACACAATCTGCTCAAACGGTGATTGTAAGAAAGATATTTTTTTTTATTTTTTATGTTTGGGACCTCACGTGTTTATACCTCTTACTTGATCATTCCTCTCATTCAAGCATTCGATTTTTTTAGTTTGGACATAGAGAGAAGATTTCGAGGCCGAGGAGATTTGGAGTTTTATATACTGCCATAAATTTTTATCAGTGATGGGTTGGGGTACTCTAGCAATAAGAGTGGAACCTGAAACACAATTCGAAGAAAATTTTGTGAAACTGATCCGAACCCCGACCCGACTTTTTTCTCAATCCGGTCAATCTTTGACATATACCTCTCATTTTAATATAAGCTTTCCTCTAATTTTTTAAAATTTATAGGAAGTACCTTCTACTTATTATTCAAATGGAGGAAATGCTCTCATACATCATGACCTTCAACAACAACATTTTTACAATCAAAATAATTGTGTTATTTCTGAGGATCCTTTAGGTTTAAAATTAAAATTCTTTATATTTATTTCAATTAAAAAAATTTTTTTAGCCGATCATTATGCCAGATTTCAAAGGCAGGACATTCAAAATGTTAATTTTAACAATCAAAATGGTATGGTCAACTTTTCATCAGTGGGCCCTGTTTTTGATAAAAATTTGAGTTATCAAGCATTGCCTAATCCGGTAAAAAAGAAATTTTTCATCAAATAAAAAAATTATTTTTTAATTAGGACCCTTATCCTTACAATAATGGTACTATTGATGGACGTCATTATTCTGGTTATGTTCCTTCAGGTAGAAATATTTAATTTTGGAAAATTATGATTCTGAACAGTCTATTTTCGGAATTGTAATTTTTAAAATTAAATTCTGGTTCTATTTGAGTTTAAATCAGAATTACAATATTTTTCGGAATTTTTTTCCGGATTGTAATTTAACTGTAATTCTGGTATAACAATTTTAAAACTAAGAAGATTCAGAAAATCTGATTTTAAATTGCAATTCTGGTATGTAATTTTAAAAATTCTGATTTTTAGAAATCAGAAAAAACCTTCAGAATTGTAATTTAAAATCAGAATTTTGGTCAGAATTGTAATTTTGGTATAACAATTTTAAAATAAGAAGCTTCAGAAATTCTGATTTTTTAATTCTAATTTAAAATCAGAATTATTTTCCGGAAGCGTAATTCTTAATTACAATCCCGCAAAGTTTTATTCTGTTTTTACAATTTATTATAGTACTTTTTTTTCACAATTCTATATTTTTTCTTTTAAAACAAACAGGCGTTAGTTATGCTGCAAATACAACAACAACAGATTCATTTAATAATAATATTAACGGAACATGTAATAGCAATAACAATAGTTTACAAAGGAGGGCAACAACATTAATGAGGACATTTCAAGATTACAATAATGGAGGGATTGTAAATTATGATACTTCTTCGAATATTAAAGGAAGTAAAGGAGCTGGGTCAAGATCAATAATTTCTGGACGAGATTCGATTCGTGGTGGGGGAAGTGCTGGGGGAGGAGAATTTCTTTAAAACAGAGGGAAATTTTGATTTATATTTTTTGAATTTTTGCAAAGTTTTTTCAAAATTTTATTTTTCTTTTTGTTGTTGATATGCTTCTAAGAAATTTCTATTATTGTTATACTAGTATTGTCCACAGTAGGGATTGGACCGAAATTTTGAACAAAAATCTTGATTCTTGTACAATGATTTTTTTGAGATTTACTATCACCGTCCGATCTCTAGTCCAACTCATCTCTCCCAGAAAATTGTTCAAAATTTAAATTTATTTTTTCATTTCTTCTTTGTTTTGGCTGCTAAAATTAGTATATTATATATTTTTTCCGATCTCAAGATATTAAAAAAAGAATTATATTACAAAAATATTGCCTTTCAATTTTATTTTTTTCTGATTGATTTACATTGAATAAATTTATTTATTGTTTAAATGATTTTTATTTTTTGTTATTTTTTCATTTTATATCTAAAAAAATAGAAATAATTTTAAGAGATTTGACGAGTTTCAGTTATTTGAAGGCCTAAATATTGGTGGAATTCTTCATATAAAAACAACCCTAAAAACATGTTTCTTCTTAAACTTGGCTCTCCACTCACTCTACTACTTTTGGTTCTATTCGAACCGTCGCTGGCACCACCGCTACTCACTCCATTGTTGTTGGTGGCGCTCAAACTTGATCCGTTACGATGCGTCTTTTTCCTTCAAGATCGTCGTCGAATTCTTCAAACACCTCCACTACAAGGCCAACAATGATTGTTTCTATACCGCTAGAAGAGAATGAACTGCTAGGAGTTAGGCCTAATAAAGCGTGAGTTTCTTGGGGAAAGTAAATCTGTCAAAAAATCTTTTTAGTTTGATCATAACACAAATTCAACGAGGATCACCAGCTGAAGGCCATCTACGTATCGGCGACAAAATCTTGGCGATCAATGATCGAAAGATTAAAGACTTGGATGCATTCTACAGAATTCTGCGTATCAGTTATCCAGTTGCGAATATTCAGATTCGAAGGATGGGAAGCAGTAGTAGCGGCAATGAGACAGCTAGAGAAAGATCGCCAGAAAGAACATCGACAGCACGCCCGACAGCAACAATGCGCGAAGATCGACGACCTCAACAACAACAACAGCTACCACAACCATCACCACGACAACAAGTACAAATGGTTGAGGATTTGCCACAAGGAATGCGGGCTGCAATAGAGAGACGTCAAGGATATCGATATACGGTAATTTTGTGGGGGAGTTTTTGGGGTTAAACATTCTCTATTTTCTAGATGGTAACAGTCGACCGAGTTCGTGGCACTCGTCTTGGCCTTTCGATCAAAACAAGAGACAATCGCGTCCTTGTCAGCAATGTGGAGGCAAATTCACTGAGTTCCCCGCATCTCCAGCAGTATGACCATATTGTCTATGTGGATAGTGTGAGGGTGACACAAGCGGAAGTTGCGAAGAATTTGATGGTCAGATCGCTGAGTGAGGTAAAATACTTTGGTTTTTAGCTCTTAAATTTTGAAAAAAAATTTTTTGTAGACTAATCGTGTGGAACTAATTATTGGTCGTCCAACAACAAGAGAAGCAATTTCTGCGGCGAGAGCAGCGCTAGCACGTGAGGATATACATGAGCCTCCATCTTTGCGTCTTGGAGTTGATGTTCAACAAATAATGCGCCAGCAGGTTGGATGAGAGAGAGTGAAAGGACCCCAAAAATAATTTTTTCCCCAACAGATTGTAAACATGGCCGCCTATGCACAGCTGTCTCCACATGGAATTCTCAACCGTTCGGGTACGCCTCCGCCACGAAATAGGCGCGTAAGCTTCTCCGGCGATAATGTGATTGTGCCAATCCAGAGCGACCATGCTGGGCGACAACTGAGAAATGTGACGAATAATGTCCCAAATTCACCAATTCGTCAACCGAGGCGACAATAAGAATAAAAAAATGAGAAGGAAGGGAAAGAGTGTGATATATAGGAAATTAAAAACTGATTTGTGTTCTCTGCCCTATTAATAATTTTGCCTGTATTTTATTGTTATCTCTCCTTTGTTCACAATATGTATGTATATATTTTTGTTATTTCACTATTTTTTCCATTTTCCGTCTAATTTTTGTGTGATAAATTTGTAATACGCTAGAAATTTCCGGAAATCGTTTCCGGAAAAGAAAGTATGACTTTAAAAGTCTGACTTTTTCAATATCTCTAATCTTTTCTTTCTGCGTGACCAAATAAAATATTTTTCGTTATTTACCGAAGTGAAAAGTTGGTAAATTGAGTTTTTGATTTTTGGGATTTTGAATTTTATTTTTTCTGTTTTTAAAATGAAAGTTACCAGAATGACATTTCGTTTCGAAAAAACATTTTTGAAAATGGCTTGAATTTTCTCACTTTTCCATTGATTTTTAAAGTTTCATTTTTTAATTTTAAGTTGAAAATTTTATTTATTCAACTTCACGATGGTTATTCTCTACAATGATCAACAACAGAAAAGATGCTCCAAAAAGATTCGTTGGGCATGTATTCATCCTTTTCCAATTACAGAAGAACAGGTTTGTAACCTTTTTAATTAAATTTTTCCCAGATTATACTGGGAAGGTTTGAAAAATGCCTATATTGTTGAATGGTTATTCTCATATGAGGGTGTTTTGTTTTTGCCTATCTAAGTGAATATTACAAACTTTTTGAGAAGGATATTATCAGTTCATATTTTTTGAAGTTTTCTGATTAGAGATTAAGCTGTGGTTGGTTTAGGGCAACGGCATGGATGTTTTTCGGCATTTTTTTTGCATCTTTGCCCCAAAGCCAGAATCTACCCCATTTCAATGAACCAAACTCATAGTTAAGTCTTTACTCTTTAAAAATATCGATCTCTATTAGGCATCTTAATGCTCCAGCACTAGAATTAAATTTGTTTCTTATTTAGGAAGAACATAAACATAAGCTGTGGGCAAAAACGATGATTGAATTAACTAATAAAATGAATGAGGTTTGGATACCGCCCATTAATAACGTTCGAATTGATCGAAATGGGGAATCTACAAGTTGTGAACTCCAAAATGAAGAATATAATCAAAATGGTATTCATGAGGAAGAAGATAATGTTGACGAAGATGATTTGCCAGAATTGTCAGAAGTTCCATCAAATAATACTTTTGTTCCAGTTCAAGATGCGCACGGATATTTAATGTGTAGAAATGGAGATTGGATAATTGATAGATGTAAGGGAGGTTTTTTAACTTACTTTTTTTGTTAGTCTTATTTTGGGGAATTTTGTTTAACAAGCAAACCGAGTTTTTTTAGTCGTATACACCCAATTCTAATGGGAGACATTTTAATTTTTGCGGTGGTGTAGGGGTAAAATATACCCTGCAATATTTTCAACTAACAATAAAGTTTGAATCCTTTTAATGTTAAGATTTTCACTTTTCTAATCTTTCTCAAATTTTACCAATGGCCGGTGAAAAATATTTAAATTGTTCCACATCATTTTAGTTGTAGTTTTAAGATAAATTTTCCTAAAGAATTTTAAATTTTATGTTTATTAAAAATCCTCTATTTTTCAGTCAAAATAATTAAGCAAATTGGTGATGGTGTTTTTTCAAAAGTTCATCTTGTATCTGATTCAAAAAATTTACAAAGATCTGCAAATGGCGAAAATCCATCAAAGAGGGCTTTGAAAATCGTCAGAAATGTTCAAGCATATAAAGATGCTGCTCTACAAGAAATTAGTGTTCTTCAAGCTTTGCATTCTTTTGATGATGAAGAAGAAAATGGATTGGGACCTAGTCATTTGGTTATTAAATTGTTGGATCATTTTGAATATTTTGATCATGTAAGTTTATTTTCTTAAATTAATATCTATTTTGTAACGACAAAAAATATCAAAAAATTTTTTTGGGAAATTTCGGAATTATTTTGTGCTAAAAATATTCCTGTCCGCAATTATTATCCACAAAAATTATATTTGAAAATTTTTTTAAAATTTATTTTTCGAATAATTTTATTTTCTATTTGCGGACGAATATTTATTTTCTGATAACAAAAAATATCGAAAAAATTTTGGAAAATTTTTTAAATTATTTTTTTTGCTAAAAGATTGCTGTCCGCAATTATTATCCGCAAAAATTATTTTTGAAAATTTTATTTTTTAATTTTTAGATTTGTCTTTTATTTGAACCTTATGGATTGAGCGTTTTTGATTTTTTGGTAAATTTTTTAAAAGCATTTTTTGAGATTCAACATTTTTTTTCAATTTAAAGCGAGGCAATGATTACCATCCTTATCCTCTTGATCAAATTCGTTATATTGCCTATCAGGTTTTTTTTTTTGAATTTTTAAATGAATTTATTTTTGTATTTTTTAGTTAATTCTTGCGGTCAACTTTATTCACGAAAAGGGAATTGTTCATACCGATTTAAAGCCAGAAAATATTTTGTTTGTAAATACTGACAATTATGAATTTAAAAATCGTTGGGACAAGCCTTATGAAGAAATGGGATTGGTTAAATCTAAGCGTTCAAGAAATAGAAGGAGAATTCGTGTACTTAAGGTTAAAAAATTTTTTTAAATTGGATTGAGAAAGCGTTCCCCTACCCCCTAGCTATGAGCTTGATTTCTTACCCCAATTTTAATTTTTTAAATATCTGTAAAGAGGAGTGGTGTTGTTTTTGTTGACTAATTTATTTTCTCTTGCATTTAATAAGTCAATTAGATGTCCGCAAAAAGTCTAGATTGGGAAACTACATCTTACTTGTCCCATTAGCTTTTTAAAAATCGGGGAGATATGAAGACTTTTCTATTTACTGTCTCTTTTTAACTTTTATTTTTAAAGGATGCTTCAATTAGATTAATAGATTTTGGTTCTGCTGTATTTGAGCATCAAGGGCATGATGAGACAGTTACTACACGTCATTATAGAGCTCCTGAAATTATTCTACGTTTGTTTTTAATCTAGAGATAATAGAATAGGCAGGATTTTTTGGCTTTGTTCATCTAGGTTGTATCCAGGGAGCTAGAGCTTCCCCCCCTCTCCCAGAAATGGTGGAAAGGAGGAAAAATTTAGGGAGGGGTTTGGACAAAAAAGTCCTGCCTACGAGCCTGCCCCCCTCCCAGAAATGGTGGAAAGTGGAAAAAATTTTGGCCCACATTTTGGCCTCCCCCTAAACTTTACGCCTATCGTTCATGGGCATGACTTTTCCATTAATTCAGAATTTTTCGTAAATTTATTCACAACGTAATCGCTTTCCTTTACTTACGTTTTTAAATAAAATTCTGGATTACTTGTCCCGGTTTCAAAAAATAAGCGAGCATTTCTTGTCGATCAGAACAATACTTTTTAAACTTATTTTTATTTCTTTAGAAAATGGATGGTCTTTTCCTTGTGATATATGGAGTATTGGTTGTATCTTGTTTGAACTTTATTCTGGATGTGCATTATTTCCAAAAATGGATGATATTAAACACTTGGCTACTATTGAAAGAATTTGTGGTGCCGTACCAAAATCAATGAAGAGAGCTTCTAGGTTTTTTAAAATTTTATTCAAGAGTGACATTTCATCCCAAATTTTAGTTGTGGCTTTTATAGAAGCAATAATCAATTAAATTGTAGTCCAGAAGTTAAGGAACATGTTAAGGAACGTACTAGGAAATTATTTGTGAGTTTATTTTTATGGTAGAAATTTTAAACAAGAAAATTTTTTTCTTAAGGATTATATTAAATTGAAAGAAATGGAACATATTCAATTTTTTGATCTCCTTGAAAATATGTGAGTTTAAAAGTTTTTTTTTAATTTTTGGTTTTGTAATTGAAAAAAAATATTTGGGATTTGATTAAATTAAAAAAAAATTTTTTTTTGTTAATTATGAAAAAATTTTTGATACATATCTAAGATTAAAATATTTTGGGTGATTTGTTATAAGGAAAAAATACCCCTATTAACCATTTCTCCGTTGATACAAAGTCAATTTTAATTTATCTTTGCTTGATTCCTTGGTGGTATACTGGTTAACGTTTCTGCCTATGTCTGTTGAAGTTTAAGGTTCGAATCCTTAAGGTACGTTGTTTTTACTTTTCCTTTGTTTTTTTCACCTCCCCCTATAATGCGGCACCCCAATCTTTACAAGTGCCAAAATTTCTTTTTAAATTCTGATCAACATAAAAAATTATTTTTCAAAATTTTTAGGCTTGTAATTGATCCAGATTTACGTATAACTTTAAAAGTAGCTAGAGAACATGATTTTTTTGAAAAATTGGATAATAATTTGCGTCTTAAAGCAGAAAATGGCGAAAATATAAACGAGAATGGTGCTACTTAAATTTATTTTTAAAAAGAGAAGAGAATTTCAAGAATGTTTATGCTTTATTTTTGATTATATTTTATTTTACTTAAAGAATTTAAGGCAAATCTTAATTATTTTATATTTGATAATTGAATATTTCGAATAAATTTAAAAATATTTTATATAAATTTTTGGTCATTTTATTGGCCTTTTGAAAATAAGTTCTATCCTATTTTAAGGAATATTTATTAACAGTACAGAATAAATGAACGGAAAATCTGTGACTCGACTTTAGGCATGCGTCCCATGAGTGTTTAAGCACCTCAAAAATAGATAAGCTTCCGTCCTATAAGCAACCAATTAATTTTTTTCAAGAAAAAAAAAGAAAATTTATAGATTACTTTGATAGGCAATAAATGAATCTTGCTTGATTATGTTTCAGCTAATTTCTCAAGTTAAATTTTTGTAACATAAAATATTACAAAATAATTTTCCATTTTCCGCACAAAAAAATTTTACAGGAAAATAAATTTAGGTGTGCACACGAATTGATTAACAACGTGTAAAAACGCCAAAAGCAGGAACGCAAATTAACGCAAATAAATGGCGTTTTTCCATGTTGTAAAAATACGTTGGCGCACATCAAATTTTTTTTCAGGCGTTTTCAGCCGTGCGTCAGAATAAACCTTCAACCCCCTTGAGTTGAGGAGGAAATGTAATTTACGACTATCCATCTGAACTAGAATGATCTTTTGAGAATTATTTAATATTTTCCTACGTTTTTTCTTCATTTTTTATTCAAATTCCAGTCCTATAAATGCATGAATCACTCCGTCTTGAGGGGATGATTCATTCAAGGGTCAAACATTTATTTTTAAAAATGAAAACAAATAAAAAAAGAAAAAAATAAATTTAATTGGAATGGAACAGTTGGCTTTTGATTAAAAAAATTTTTTTTCTAAAAGCATTAAATAAAATATAAAAATAAATTGATCACATAAAAGATGTAAACTAAAAGTAAAAGAACATTTTAATTGTTTGTATCAGGTGTTAAAAAATATTTTTTTTTCTTATATATAAAGGTTAGCTAATTTAATGCAAAGGTTAATTTTTAAAAATTTATTTTATTTAAAAAGTTAAGGAAAATAAAAAAAATTTTCTGTGGAGACTTAAGAAGTAATTTTTTGCTAAAAAATAAAAATATTTTTTTTCTCCTTCTAGATATGGCTAGTAAATCAACAATAATTATTTCGTCATTATTTTTTGTTTTTGTTATTAATTCAATTTTACTATTTTCACAAGGGGTAAGTTTATGGGTACAACCCAAAACGGCGCGCGGCCATAACAGTGCAAAGCCATAACTTGGTTGAAAAGGTCTGACCCTTATCAATTTTTTCCTTAGCTCGATTAGAGGAATCGCTTAATACAAATTTGGTAAGTTTAGGAAAATTTGAAGTAAGTTGTGGCTTTGCGCCGTTATGGCCGCGCTCCCTAAGCTTATGTATTTTAGTGCTAGGCATTGTTCAATATTCGCGAAAGTACCGATTCTGTACTCACGCGATATTTCCGAAACCGGCATCGTAAAAATCCAATTGCCAAGCACTAGTTAATTTTTCTCCCAAAAATTTTTTTTAAATTTAAAAGAATGCCCAGAAAGCACATCCAAAAGATGTTGAAACAATTTTTAATAAAAATGTTTTAAATAGAGAATTTAAAAATAAATTTGGAAATTTAAAAGAAGGGTGTTTTCCGAGACCTAAAGGTGTGGGTTGTCGATGTACTGAAAAAGATGAGAATGGATATGATCGAGAAAAAATTTTTGAAACTGAAGCAGAATGTCGAGAGGAGGTGAAAATAGAAATTATAGTTCTATTGAAATTTTGGGGGAAAAATTATTTTTTTTCAATGAAGAAATATTAATAGAAGGGCGAAATAATAAAATTTAAATTTATTAAAAATAATTAAATAAGCTATTAATCAAAAACACAGACACACATAAACCAAAAAAAAATCCAAAAATATACGCTACATAAAATTTCAAAAATCACACATAAAAAATGCATACCGTAAATCCGCTAAAATAACCCTCGGGTGTTATTTTTTCGATCTACCTCTAGAGCGATCGACCTCTAGAGGGTGGTTATTTTAGAGGGATGGGGTTATTTGAGAAGGGGGGCTATTTTAGAAGATTTACGGTAATTCTGCCAAATATACTCCTACTATGTTTTTTTGAAACTGAAGTAAACCACATCCCTTAGAATCTCAGTTTAATTAACAACCCCTTTTTAATCATTTCAGAATACTTCTGGCTCTCGTAAAAGACGACGTGTAGCAGAACAAAAAACTAAAGAAGCTGATATTCCTACAGCTACAAGGGAGAAAACAAAAACAGCTAACAACAACAATAACAGAGTTGATCCAGTAGAAGAACGCGCCCGCCAAAATTATGCTGCAGTAATTAAGGAATTGAAAAATAAATTTGCTGGATTGAGAGAAGGGTGTTATCCGAGGCCTAAAGGTTTGGGAGGAAAAATTGGAAAAAATTTTGAAAAAAATTTTGCTTCTGAAGCATTTTTCTGAAACATGAAACTTGCTTCTGAAGCATGCTTCAAAAATTGCTTCAGAAAATTTTCAAAAAATTTTTTTTCAAAAAAATTTTTAAGGTTGTCTCTGTGTTGTTGGCAAAGACGCAACAGGACGTGAAATAACCTCTCGCCGAATGAAAGATTCAGAATGTAAATGCGCCCCCGGTGAACGTTCAAAAGAATGCCCAGCACAAGGGGCTTAAAAATAAAAATATTTGGATTTAAAAAATTTTGCGGATTTTTAATATTTGAAAAATAAACTCATAAAAATATACACATAGAAAAATACAAAGGAAAAATACTTCTAACAAAAATTAAAAAAAAGTATAGAAATAAGAAGCATGCTACCAAACAGAGGTGGGTCGGAATTCCGATTTCCGCTGTTATTTTCCTTTCGACTTCCAATTTCCGAAAAAATTTTGATTCCCGATTTCCGACTTTAGAGCCAGTTCCGATTTCCGGCTCTTCCGATTCTTCTCTTTCTTTTCAAAAATTCTGTTCCGACCCACCTCTGCTACAGAATGACTGAGCTATTTCTTTTAGAATAAATATAAATAGGCAAAAAACGTTATGGTAAAAAGACAAAATTAATTTAAAAAATTTTTTTTTCTCTCTTTTTCCTCCTCAATTTAATTTTTTTTCTTTCTCAAAAATTTTCTTCTTTAATTATTTTTGGAATTTCATTTATTTTTGTTGAATTATCACAAAATTCGAATATACTTGCAGCTCTTCTTCTTTCCCACAAATTTGGATTTTGTTGTTTATTAAATAAACAAGTTGATTTTCGTCTAAATCTGTCTCCGTTTTGTTCCAAATTATTTAAATTAATTTTAAGTTCAACCTGAAAATTAAACAAAAAATTTTTGTGAAGCAAAAATGATAATGGATAAGTACCACAAAGAGAGGAGAGAAAAGAGAAACAATTTGGCTTTTTTGCTTCAACAATTTTTTTAGAAAATTAAAAAAAATTTTTTTAAGTCTAATTACTCAAAATATTAATAAATATACACTTAAACATAAAAATAAAAAAGAATTTACTTCAAAGGGACTCGAACCATGGACCCTCACCAGGTCGATCTAAGAACTTTCCAACTACACCACACCGACTCAAGAGGGGAAAGTTAATTAAAATGCTTATAGAATATTATTAAAAAGGTAAATAAAGAATAAAAAAACAAAGAAATACAAGAACGGACAAATTTTGAAAGGGGAAATTTTTCTTTAAAATTCACCTCCTTTAAAAGAATTTTTAATGTTTAATTTTTACCAATTTTCCCAAACTTTTCTTCTCTTTTTTACAATATTTTGCTTCATTTTCATCTTCAGAAGATGAACTTGGTGTTGTTCCATGTACTCGATTTGAAATTATTGAGTCAACAAAATTATTATTTTTATTATTTTTTGAAGCTTTTCTAAATGATGAAAATTTTCTTTTTGATAAACCAAAAAAGTTGTCAAATACAGAAGGCTTTCGTTGTTTTTGTTGGTATTCAAAAGAAGATGAAGATGAGTAATTTAGGGGATTGGAGAAGGATATTTTTGCTATTGGGGCTGAAATAGGGGATTTTTTTAAAAATTAAAGGTTCAAAAGGGTCAAAAGTGGAAAATGATTCAAAACAAGATAATTTTCTATAAAATAAAAAAAAGTTTCTGGCACCTTTACTTTCGTCTTGCAGTTGTTGTGAAGCCGCTAATCGCCCTATACTTGCAGCAAATCTTCGCTGTTGTAAAGCAAATTCCATAGTTGCTTGTAAATGTTTTTCACGCTCCTCGTCTCGGCATTTTTTTGCTATCTGAAAAAAAAGAAAAAGTATATAATAAAAAAATGAAGCTAAAAAGATTTAAGAAGCATAAGAAACTGAAGCAAAGAATGAGATGGAAGCAAGGTAAAGCGAGGGAAAATGAAACAGAAGCAAAAATAAGGTGAAGATGAAGCAGAAGAGTAAAGTGAAGCAAAATAAAAAATAGAAGCAGAAATAAAAAAGCTGAAACAAAAAACTGAAGGTGAAGCAAATAGAAAACTGAAATAGAAGCAAGAAGTTGAAGCAAAAAATGAAAGCGAAGCAAAATAAAAAATAGAAGCAGAAATAAAAAAAGTGAAGCAAAGAATGAAAACTGAAACAAAGAACTGAAAGTGAAGCAAATAGCAAACTGAAGCAGAAGCAACAAATTGAAGCAAAAAAGCTGAAGCAAAAATCTAGAAGCAAAAAAAAGTTAAATTTTCACCATATGTTCTCTCCTCTTTTTTGAAATAAAAATCCAAGTTATTTTCCAAAGAAAAGTTGCTAGTTCAATTACAGAAACTAAAGACATTCCAAGAAAAAGCCCCATATTTCCACCAATATCGCCTTTATTTTAAAATATTATTTTTAAATCTTTTTTAAACAAACTCAAAATTTCAGTCATTCCAACACTCTGAATTTGTTTATATTCTGTATAACAAATATCTCGAAAGAATATATTTATTGCAACAAAGTTTGAGCTTTAAAAATTTTTTATTACGCCCAAAAACAGTCTGCGCCCAACTGACTTCAACATTTTCAAGTTTTATTTAGAGATCGGAACGGGTCCGGGACCCGGACCCGTTTCCCGGTTTTCGGGTCCCTTTTCCCGGTTTTTTTGAAGCAACCGGGATGAAACCGGGAACGGGAATTCCCGGTTTTCCCGGCCCGGGTCCCTCCCGGTCAACCTTCAGAACCCGTTTCCCGGACCCGGTCCCGGCCATTTTTATACCGGGAAACCGGGAAAAATATTTAGTGTATTAAATCTGAAAAATTCTTAAAATTTTTGCCTGCGGCGCTAGAAAAGTAAGAAATCTGGCCTCTTGGCTTTCAAAATTCTTAAAATTTTCGCCTGCGGCGCTAGAAAAGTAAGAAATCTGGCCTCTTGGCCTTCAAAATTCGCAAAATTTTCGCCTGCGGCGCTAGAAAAGTAAGAAATCTGGCTTCTTTGCCTACGGACACGAGTTTAATTTTTTGTATCCCTCTTAATCCCCAAATATTCTCTGGTGTCCCTCCAATCCCCCAATGCACAATAGCACCCGTACTCCCTTTACACCGATATCCTTTAATCGACTAGAATCCTCAAAATCCTCTTCCATATTCACTTAATCCCGTAATATCATTTCAAACCCTATAATATATACCAGTATATCCCACTTAATCCCACTTAATCTGCTGATATCTGTCCAAATAAAAAATCAAGAATCAAAGCCAGGATCCAGACAAAAATAATCCTTGAGTTTTCCTTGACTTAAGGCCAAGAATTTGGTCAAGGTACCCAACCGAAATCAAGGTTTTTAGAAAATCACGCTCTCTAGCATTTACTTACTTTAATAGACGTTATTTAGAATAAATTAGATGGATAGTTGAAAAATACAGCCCCATGTGGAAAAATACAGCCCAATTTCAACAAATTATGAATTTCCCGGTTTCCCGGTCCGGGACCCGGTCATTTTTGACCGGGTTGAAACCGGGAACGGGAATTCCCGGTTTTCCCGGCCCGGGTCCCTCCCGGTCAACCTTCAGAACCCGTTTCCCGGAACCCGGACCCGGTTTTTTCAAAATTCCGATCTCTAGTTTTATTGAACTCTTTAAAGTAAAACTTGACGGATTGTTGATGTCAGTTGGGCGCAGGCAGTTATGGGGCGTTAAACTGTATAACTCTAGAATGGATAAAGCTATTGAAATATTCATTTGATTATTGAATAGAGAATTAAATTTGCTACAAAATAAGGATAAAATTAAAATTTTGAGAAAAAAAGATAAGAGAGAAAGAAACCAAAAACTTAGATTTTAATTTAAAAAATGTTAGTTTTTTGACCATAACTTTTTAAAATTTTTAAGTAAAAATTTTATCTAAAATTTATCAAGTAGCCCATTCAATTCTCTATCGAATGACACAAAGTTTGTTTCAAAGTGTCAACTCGTTCAAGAGTTATAGAGGTTATCGCCAACCTCCTCTCCCCTTCACAAACTTACTGAACATGTTTAGGCGTCCATTCAATTTTCTTCTTTTGTATCCAAGACAAAAAGCTTTGAGAAAATCCTTGAGCATAAGAATTGTATATATGATAAACAGAACGATGACATTCCATTTTACATTCAGTACAAGTTGGTAATTCTTTGAAAAAAATTTATTTAAGTTAAATCCCCTCTCAAAAGCACCTTCAACAAGAGAATAATCATCCTCTTCCTCCTCATTATTTTCGTCAGTTTGATTTTTTGTGGTAATATTTCTTCCATCATTTATACATTTATATGTATCATAGGGTGTACAAACAGAAAAATCTTTAAATTAAAAAAATATTTTTAGGGGCCGAGTATGAGGATCAGTCCAGTTCGAACACCTATAACTTTTGAATGGCTTAACCTCTGATAATAAATTAAAAATTATTTGATAGAGAAAAGAATTTGCTACAAAATAAATATAAAATTTAATTTTCCTTACATTCCTCAATATTGTAAATAAAAGGACTACAACCACAACGCTCATAAAAATATTTTGCTAAGCAAATTGTTTTGCATTTTAATAAAGAGTAGGGTAAACTATTAATTAAAATTTTAATTAAAAAATTCTGATTTTTGAAAAAAATTCTGGTTTTGAAAATCAGAATTTTGATTTTTTGAAACAGAAATTCTGATTTTAAAAACAGAATTCTTGTTTGCTTAAAGAATTCTGATTTTCTGAATCAGAATTTTGATTTTAGAAAAGCAGAATTCTAATTTTAGAAAACAGAAATTCTGATTTTCTGAAAAAATTCTGATTTTTAAAATTAAAATTCTGATTTTAGAAAACCAGAATTCTGATTTTCTGAATCAGAATTTTGATTTTAGAAAAGCAGAATTCTAATTTTAGAAAACAGAAATTCTGATTTTCTGAAAAAATTCTGATTTTTAAAATTAGAATTCTGATTTTAGAAAACCAGAATTCTGATTTTCTGATTTACTGATTTAGAATTCTGATATATGAAAAACCAGAATTTTACTTTTCTGAAAAAAATTCTGATCTTAGAAAATCAGAATTCTGATTTTTTTTAATTCAATAAAAAAATTTTGCTTCTCAACTTTTCATCAAGAGTGATTAAACTTCCACTTCCACCATCAGAATTTTCAATTTTATTTAAATTTAAAGGCCATTCATTTGTACAATTTCCCCATTCATTATGAGATAATAATAAATACTTTAATTTAAAAATAATTTTTTTTAAAAATTATAATTACATTTGTTGGGCTTATAGCAGAATATACTTTAGTCCCAGGGGATACACTAATTCCCTCTGTCGATAAATAGGGCATTGCATTTTGATCATGAACATAATAACGAAATCCGTTTTCAAATATTTCTGCTAGAGCATGACCAGAATTTATTGCTAAATAAAAAATTAGAAAAATCAGAATTCTGATTTTTTAAAACCAGAAAATTTTTTGAAAACAAAATTCTGATTTTTGAATTCTGATTTTTGAAATATCAAAAAATTTCTAATAAGGAAAACATTAATTCTGATTTTTGAAAATAATAAAAATTACCAGCAGAAACGATTTGTTCCTCTGTATGGGCATCAGCTATGATTTGCAATCTTATTTGAAAAATTATAATTTAATTTTAAAATATATAGTACCCATTATTTATCCCAGCCTGTACTTGGTGTTTTAACCAGGACTGATCTGCTTCATCAAAATTTAATTGATAACATTTGCCTTTGGAAAAAATATTATTTAAACAAAAATCAGAATTCTGGTTTTTGAAAATCAGAATTTTGAACTCTAAAGAAAAATTCTGATCAGAAATTCTGATTCTGAAAAATCAGAATCTTGGTTTCTAAAGAAAAATTCTAATATTTAAAAATCAGAATATAAATCAGAAGATTCAAAAAATTCACCAATATCAGTCAATATCCCTTTAGCATAAAGACAACAATCAAATTGCCTTCCACCAAAAGAACAATATTTAAGCATTTGTCGACAACTTGTTGAAGCATTCCAGAAGAATGAATTTATTGTAAAATTTGTTTTTGAATTTTTTACAAAATGTTTCCACTCCTTTAGAATGAAAAAATACAAAAATTCTGGTGTAAAAATCAGAATTCTGGTTTTAGAAACCGAAATTCAGGTTTAAAAAAACCAGAATTTCTGATTTTTTATTTTAAGTAAAAATTCCAATCTGACTTTAGAAAATCAGTTCTGATTTAAAAAACCAGAATTTGATTTTAAAAAATCAGAATTTTCTGATTTTTTATTTTAAAGAAGTCCAAAAATTAAAATAACTCAGACTTGATCAATCATTTTTAATTTCTCCGGGTCTTTATATGTTAACAAATATTGTGGTTCCATAAAAGAATGCATTGCATAATCAAGTAAACGTTGTGAAAAATGTCCAGAAGCGTTTAAACCTTTTAATTAAATACCAGAATTTTGAATTGTAAAAATTGTAAATTCTGATTTTTCAAATATAAAAATTCTCATTTTATAGGAATAATTCTGGTATGTTTTGTTAAAGAATTTTGATTTAAAATATCAGAATTATGAAATGTCAGAATTTGTAAATTGTAGAAATCAGAATTTTAAAAAATCTGAATTTAAAAAATCAGAATTATATAAAAATCAGAATTCGCAATTTGTAAAAATCAGAATTTTAAAAAATCAGAATTTTAGAAAACAGAATTTTTAGGAAATCAGAATTAAAAAAATCAGAATTTTAAAAAATCAGAATTTTAGAAAACAGAATTTTTAGGAAATCAGAATTAAAAAAATCAGAATTTTAAAAAATCAGAATTAAAAAAACAGAATTTTTAATTGATAAAAATCAGAATTTGTAATTTATAAAAATCAGAATTTGCAAAAATCAGAATTTGTAAAAAATCAGAATTTACGTTTAACATATTCTTTGCGAACAGGGTTGTGACTACATATTGTAATTGCCGGGAATTGTAACCCATTTTCCGGAAGCAAAAAAGAAACTTGAGAAACAGTGGGTTTGGAAGTATAAACAACCAAAAGTTTCGCAATTTGCCAAATTAGTAAAGCCAAAGAAAGAATTGTTACCAAAACCCAAAAGAAACGAATAAATCCACGGCTACGATAAATACGTAGAAGGCCGTTTATTGATGTTACACCGAAAAATAAATTAAAATTTCGAAAAAAATTCAAAAAAATTTTTCCGAAATTTTTTCAAAAATTTTTTTTCAGAATTTTCCAATTGTTAAAAAATTTTCAGAATTTTTCAAAAAAATTTTTTTCAGAATTTTTTCAAAATTTTTCAAAAATCCCAAGAAAAATATTTTTCTATTTTTACCAACAAAATGTTGAGTTTCCCGTTGTAAAGAACCAATACCCTCTGTTCTAGCAATTCTTTTTAATTGTCTTACTGGTACTTGGATTATTCTGAGAGAAAAAATTATTTTAATAAAATAAAAAAAATAATTTTTTTCACTCACAATTCAGAAGCTCGATTCTTTAACAATTTTGCTCTATTATTTCCACTACTAGCATTTGATTGTCTAAAAAGTAAAAAAATAAAATATCGAAATCTCCCTCGCTTGCATCCGAATTTAAACGAGGCCATAATAAAAGCCCAACTAGGGTTGGTGGACCATGAAAAATCCTAGGGTATCCGGATCCAATATTCGTTTAGAGATTTCGCAAAGGCGTTCGGGGAATTATTGCCATTAGCTTGGATCAGAACAGAAATTTTCGGATGAGTTTATTTGTATTATTTTGTTTTTCTATTTAAAAACATACAGAGATGAACGTCGATTAAATTTATTATGAATATTATTGTGAAATTGAGGAGAATTGGGCAAAGATTCATTTGAAAAAGGAGGGGATTCTGGTGATAATATTTGCCTAAGAAATAAAAAAATCTTTAAAATAACTAATTTTTTAGTTTAATATTCTATGAAATTTTCAAAAAAAAATTTTTTTGAAAAATTTTTTGAAATCTTTTTTTCTGGAAATTTTTTGAAATTTCATAAAAAAACTTACATATTTTGCTCCAATAAAAGTTTGAACAATTTTTAAAATTAAATTTTCTTGTCATGTGAATTTATTGCGCTGCTTATTTTCAATTATTTTAAAGCTGATTTAAAATTTCACGCTTTTTATTAACAAGGTAAAAATAAAGTAAAAGTAAAGGCACTTGAAATAAAATTTTGTACAAAGAACATACTATACACTTGACACCTTTAAATTTTATTTAAATTATATTTAAATTGAAATTGTTTAGAAATATTTTTAAAAAAATTTAAAGAAAAAAAATTTTTAAAAAAAATTGTCAAAAAATTTTTTCTTTTAATTTGTTAAAAATTGAAAAATTTTTTCCTAAAAACTTTTTAGAATTTTCAGTCTTTTTAAAATTCATTTTTAGAAATTTTTAATTCAAATAATTTTTAATAAAAATAATTTAATCTGAAAATTAAAAAAAATATATTTTGGCAAAGTTCCCAAAAATTAATTTTAAGACAAAATTTTTTAAAGTTCTACACCAGGGATCTAGCCGACCCGATTTCTGAAAAACTTGAATTCCCGACGTTTTTTGGGTTGATAATTCCTGATTCCCAAAAATCAGGAATTTAATTTTTATATCGGCTAGATCCAAGCTCTACACTATTCTACACATATGACCGTTCCAGTCAACTCAAATTTCAAAAATTTATTTTAAAAAATTTGCCTCAAAGACTAAATTCTTCACCACTACTATACTCATCAAGATAATCATATTGTTTCAATTTATTCTCCAAAAACTCTATTCTACCCACTAATTTAGTTTCATTACTAATAAATTCTGCTGTTAATCGAGACAATCTAAAAAAATTTTTTTTAAGTACAAAAATTTTTTCTGTGTTAAATTGGGGTTTTCTGTGTAGTTTTCTCTAAAAATTACGAAAATATGTGAAATGAAACGAGAGAGATTTATTTAGTACCCCAAAATAAAAATTTTTTTTTCTCACAGACCAGATTAGAATTGAAATTTCAATCCATCCCTTGTCCCTCAATTTTTTACGCCATAAAATTTGGCTCAAATGACATTATAGAATGAAATCTCCCTGAATAACGACTCCCCCTCCCCTTCCTACGTCACTTCCAGAAAACTGTCATAGAGAACTTTTTCTGTCGTTAAATAGTTCTATTAATAGAACCACACATCATTTTATTTCTTACGCCAGAAAATCCGGCCCAGGAGTGTCGTAATAGAGAGAACCTCCAATGTTCAGATAGAGGATATCAAAATCTCCGGCATTTCCTTACGGCAGAAAATTTGGCCGGGGAGGGGGTTGTTATCTGGACAGATAAGGGTGTCGTCTAAGGGAAGGGGGTAAGGGGGGGTGTTGTCTAGACATTATTAGATAGATATTATCGGATTTTACTTACTTATCCAAAAGACGGTCAATTTGTTCCCTAAGTTCCTGATTCCACTGTTCTGGACTTTTTTCTTCCAAAGGTGCATCTTCATTTAACAGCCCGTCCTTCAAAAGTATTTCCCGCCCCTTATGTACCAACATTCTTTTTGCTTCAGGATATTCTCTTAAAGCTTCCCATAAATCTGCCTTCTTCAAAACAAATAAATCTGTATAGCCAACTGAACGAATTGAGGCAGAACGACGATTTCCGTGCTTACTGCCTTAAATTGAGAGAGAAAAGTGTAATTAAAAATGTCTAATTAAAAAATGTCTCTCTTATGCCCACCCATATATTTACACACTCTCTCTCTTATTCTTCCGGAAAAAAGTTATTCCGGAAAGTTATGGGAGAAAATACAGTCTAGGTATTTTAAATACCCTTAGGTGCTTGAGAATCGTACTTAAAAACGAATGGTATTTGAAATTGAAAATATTGCTTATTAGACGGCTCTTTCCATTTATAATTCTCTCAAAAATTTATTTAAAAATTTTACCGGGAATGTTTAAAAGACTAAGTTCTCCAAAAACAGCCCCTTCCAATAATGTATGAAAAATCTTCATTCCATCATCCGACACAACTTGTAAGCGACCTTTCTTTACTATATACTACATGGAATTTTTTTTTGAAAATTTTCAAAAATTTTTCAAGTTACCATCTCTCTGCCAACATCGCCCTTTCTACAAACAAAGTCTCCCGGGCTGAAAACCTTTGAAAAATTAATTTTTCGACTTGTTCACCCACAAAAAACCCCTACTTGCAATTTAAGCTTCAAAACAAGTTCACCAAGTAAACCAGCTTCACAATCCTATAGAAATTTTTAAAATAATCATTGGGGCAAGGAACAGTCATTTTTCCACCTGAAAAAGCCTAACTTTCCTCAACGTCTCAAAATGTACATGCATAGCAATTTCTGCTTGCAATTTTGTTGGTAATACACTTAACACTAAATCATCCTGTCCATCAAGTATTGCTTGTTTATTTTGTTGCCAAATATAATCAAACCAGTTATTAATTCTGTGTATTAACTAAAAAATATAGCAAGAGTTTTAGCTAAAGTTTAACCACAGGGCAGGATTCGAACCTGCAAAAACAACGCTGAGAGTGCTAGGGGCTCGCTTATACCTACATATTGGCTGCTCTACCACTGAGCTTTAATCCTGGTCCAAGCGTCCTAAATGCTGCTACGTGAATCCCTTGAACTGAATACAGATCCGTGCAAGAGGGCAGAGAAAAGTACTACTACTTTTCCGGAAAGAATCCGGAATTTTTAATAATATGTACTATAAAGAGCAAAGTGGAGAGAGGGAAAAAACAATTTTTAAAAATATTTTTTAATTTTTTCCGGGTTTTTAAATTTGTTTTGTGTTCAGATACAGGATTAACGTTTAACAAAAAAATTTTTTAGAAAAAAATCTTTTAGTCTCTCCATTTACTAATAAAAAATTTTTTTCCCTCACATTTTTGTTAACATTCCTCTGACGAAGAAAACGTTTCACATTATCAATTCTTGATTGAAAATCCCTTCTAGCTGCCTCAGAGCTAGCAATCATACTCCCAACATTTCCAACAATTGTAGCAAAAATTAAAACCCCAAACATTAAATCAACACAAACAATAATAAATTCTGAACTTCTGATAGGCCAAGGAACTTCACAAACATTGGAAAGCATTAAAGTGGACCAATAATAACTGTAGAGATATCGACGGGATAAACTGTCTTCTATACCTCTTAAAAGTTTGGAAAAATATTTTTTCGCAGTTAAGATTTTTTTAAAAATTTTTCCAGGTTGAAAATCTCTCCTAGCTTGGAAAGCACACATTGGAAAGCTTCAGTACCTTGCCCATTAATTTTTAATAAAAAATTTATTTTAATTAAATTCTGTCAAGTTTTGTTAGTTCGTGATACTCTGAAAGTATTGAAACTTCATAAAGCATTGGAATTTTTAATCCTTAGAGTCAAAAAATGAGCTTGTGCAGTTTACCCCCCACAAGCTCCGCTCCTTTTTTTCCTCTTCGTTTTCTTATGAAGTGACAGCGCAATATTTTTTGTTTATTTCAGAAAATAAGTCCCAAAAGAAATTAAAAGAGAAAAAAGGGGCGTGGCTTATGGGGGGGGGGGGTAAACTACACAAATTTATCCAAAAATTAAATTTGTGGCATTTTCTTGTTTTAATTAAATTATTATTTTTTAATTAAATTAAAATGCACTCTGGCAATGCTTGTAAATTAGCCTTTCCATAAACCCATCTATTTGAATCAATTCCTAACACGCCAGAAATAAAATAGTAGAAGCAGGCATTCCAATGAATTAAAATTAAAATATACAAACAAACACAGAATATACGGTATAAATTTGGTTTTGAAACACTAAAAACGGGAAAATTAATTTTTGTTTAATTTGGGTCAGACTCGTGTTGGTCAAAATCAAAAAAATTTTTCAAAAAAAATTTCAAAAATTTTCACAAATTTTTCAAAAAAATTCCCTACCACATTTCTGTAGTATTGGTAAATTTAAAAACTCTCTGTAGACGAATTAACCGATTAAATCGAAGACATGGATTTGTTGTTTGAAGGCCTAATTCAAATAAATAGTCCAAGGGGAGGCAAGCAATCAAGTCAATCCACATCTCAATTCTATTCTTTTTGTACCGTTTAAGTACTTTTTGAACATCCCGAACTAATATGCCTTGATCGAGATATCCTAAAATTAAATTTGTAGTTACGAAGTTCAAGAGGGACAAGTCCGAGCGGGACGAATCCGCGCTTTATGTATTGTGGGAAGAACCCGCGTTGGGGCGAAACCGACTGGGACGAACCCGCATTGCGCTATCCTTACCAGTTCTAGAACGAACAAAGCAATCCAACAAATAAATAATATCTGTTACAATATCAAGTAAAATAAAAATTCCAATCCAAAAATATCCAACAACTTGGCTGTCAATAAAAACACTTCTGTAAACAATTAACTAGAAGAGGGAAAATTTTTAAAAATAATTTTCAAAATTTACCATTAAATTATAAACATAAGCAAGTGTTACAATTCCCAACCAATTATAATAATAATTAGCAAATGGGTCAAAAATAAGTTGGTGACGAATATATTCCCATATGGAGACTGAAAATTATTTTTCGTCTTTCAAATCAGAAAATATCCTATATCCTAATACAGTCAGCTCATTATAAGATACACACAACGAGTTTGTTTTTTTTTGTGCTTATACCCACTAAGTATAAGCACAAAAAGTTTTTCCAGAGAATTTTGCGATATTTTTCGAATAAATCCAAAAATTCACTTCGACGCCCACAATTCCCCGCGCCTAAAAAATTGGAGCCCAATTTTCCGTTTTTTTCACTTAGGGCCCAAATTTCCGCTGGAGCCCAATTTTCCGAAAAGTTGGAGCCCAATTTTCCAGAGCCCAATTTTCCGGACACCCACACAACATTGAATACACCTCTCGGTTTAAGTTAGAGTTGCTCGAGGTGAGGTTTTTTGAAAAAACCGAGACCGAGGATCACCGAGGCTGGAAAAGCCAAGGTCGAGGGGAAAATTTGGCCCGAGACTCAGTAAAATCGAGGTCGAGGTTTGAAAATGTCCGAGGACCAACTCTAGTTTAAGTTTGGTTGAACATTGGATGGAGGAGGAGCTGTCCAAACAATATCCCCCCTCCCCTCAACGCAAGAAATACCCTTCTACTATAATCTTGTTCAGCCCCAAGGGTCATATAATAATGAGGTCAAACAGCAAAACCTCTCACCTTCATTTAAATTAACATTTTTCAAACACAGAAATCCTCTATTGTTATTAGCTGCATTATTATTTTGTTTTTCTTCCACTTGATTTTGTGTATCACCCCCACAACTTGTTGTGCTTATACCGTATTTACTGAAAAATGCTTGTTGTTCTCTATTTATTGCTGCATCTGCAACACGTACACGGCTCATTAAACTTAGACCCTTTCAAATAAAAAAATTTTTTTTGAAAAATTTTGGAGGAAAATCTGCAGAATATTTTTATCCGCAAAAAATTTTTATCCGCAAAAAAAATTTTTTTTTTGTCCGCAAGAATTTTTTTGTCCGCAAATTTTTTGCGGACAAAAATTTTTTTGTGAATTTTTAATTAAAAAATTACTTTAGCTATTGTTTTAAATTTTGGACGAACATAAGTTTGATTTGTTGATTTGTCTGAAAAAATTTCTCTTAAACCTAAGAACAAATCTTGTTTTATTGGACCTGGCTCTAAAATAGCAGCAGTAGAAGTGCCTTCATTAGCCTCAACAATATTTATTTGATTAGGCTGATTTGATTCTTCTGTTTTTAAATTTTGTAAATTATAATGATCAAAAAATTAAGAATTAATTATGTCCAAGCCCCATAATACTCAAATAACAAAAGGTCCAAAACCCTGATTCTTGTCAATTTTTGTCTCGGATATTTGGGTATATCAACTAAATTCACTATAAGATTTTTAATAAAATTTTTCCTTATTTCAGCGACTGTCTCACAGTCTTATTGTTAGATACGAGCCAAAAAATTCCACCTTTTCCCGTCTGTTGTTGAATATTTTCTTCTCCAAAAGCTTTGGAATTTTTCCGAAGAGGAGCAAGTCTACCTTGCGGTATATGCTTTCTTTCCTTCAGTGCCATAAACAAATTTCTAATAAATTTTCTAATTAAGCTGCTTTTGTTTAAATTTTACAAAAAAATTTTTTTAAAAATAAAAAAAAATAAAAGAGAGAATTTCCTCTCTCTTGACACAAATTAGTACAAAAAAATTTTTTTTTCATTCTCATAATAATGAAAAGGAAAAATAATAATGAGGGAATCATCTCTCCCTTTTAAGTAGAATGAAAAAAATATTGCTCTTTTTCATAGGTAAATTTAAAAAAAACTGAAAATAATTTTTTTAATAACAAATAATAATTGAGGGCCCTTGTTTAATAGTTGCTGTTGGTTACTCTATTAAATAGTAGATACCTAATTTTTACCTTAAAAATTAATTTTCGATTTGAAATAAAAAAAAAATGGAAAAAAGAAGGAGAAAAAAAGAAAAAAATCAGAACAAAAATAAAAACAGAAATAAAAACAAAATTGGAAGACAAAAAATCAGAACAGGAATCAGAAGAAATCGGGAAAAATGAGCAGTTGACAACACACACCTCAATTAAAACATAAATATAATTTTTTGTCTAAAAATTCAAAACAAAAGGAGAACGTCAAAATACAATTTCTTTAAAAATCAGAAGATACTTATGTTGATAACAGGGATCGCGCCGACAGAAAACCAAAGTCTCAATTTTCGTAAATCGGTTCGGCCCGATCCCTGCTTGATAATTTAAAAATAAAAAAAAGAAAAAATTAAATTTAATTAATTATAATTAACAGCTAGATAAATAAAATAACAGAATTTATATTTAGAAACCCAAAATTATGGGAAAAATTTCTAAAATTAAAAATCAAAGAGTATCTCCCTAAAAAATTTTTTTTTATTAAAAAAAAGAAAATTTTATTATTTGCTAAAAATTCTAAAAAAGCCTTTCCAAAAATGGAGATAAAAAATAAAAGAAAGGTAAGGTTTATACCCCCCCCCCCAAAAAAACTAGAGAAAGAAAGTGTTGATTGGTTAATAATTTTTAAAAAATTAAAAAAGGGATGACTTTTGCAAAAAAAAAGTTTTTTTTAATTTTTTTAATTTTTTTTAAATTTTTTTTTTATTTATTAACGTCATTAATATTTTATTTAAAGCATTTATTTGAATATTCTTTTGTAAAAAATATTAATATTCTTCTTTATTTAATTGTTGTAATTTTTTATTGAATAAATTATATAGGCTTTAGATGAGTAAAAGCCTTTATTAAATAAAGGAAAATAAAAGAGAGAAAGTTTTCCTCAAAAAAAATTTTTTTTATTAATTTTTGTCATTCTTTAAACAATCCTTATTCTTTAACACCCTTTAAACAATTCCCTAAATTTTATTTTATTAAAAAAAAAATTTTATTTTAATAAAAGCATTATACATCGGAACACGTTTAAGTTTTCACCTCAAAAATTGTCATCTACCAAAAATTTTCCTGATCAGTGCTGGGTTTAGGGCATTTGTTGGCTCCGGCTCCAGGGCATTTCAAATTCCTCTCCGGCTCAGGAGCCGGAACCATACCCACTCAGCACTGTTCTTGATAAAAAAATTTTTCCGACTTAATTTTAAGGAAATCACGTCTAATATTCCTGATCAAAAAAATATTTTTTTTTCTTCCCTGAAAATCGGATCCCTGAAAATTTAAGTGTTGATATTTTAAGGAAAGTACGTCTAAACATATTCCTGATCAAAAAAAATTTTTTTTGAAAAAAAAATTATTTTTTCCAAAGCTTAATTATTAGGGAACTATAACAACAACAGGAAAAACAACTACGAGCCAACTTCAGAAAAAACAAAATGAAAGATAACAACTTTATTAAATTCCAAAATTTAATATTTTTATTAAAAATTTTAATTTTTGGAATATGTTACGGTGAGGATATAAAATTTAGAATTGTTACTTTAAATATATGGAATGGAGGAATACATGGAGGTGGAAGGGAAGAAGGGCTATTTAAATTTGCTCAACACCTTGCAAATTTAAATGCTGATATTATTGCATTACAGGTAAAATTAGTCCAAAATTAAATTTTAAGATAGTAGGTGGCCGGTTCGAAAGCCCTTCGAAATGCACACCATTCGATTCGCGTCTCGGCGAGCTGAGTCGACTGGTACCACTCCCAGTGTGCGAAAACGCCTGCGGACCGAGATATGGATCCCTGAAAATCGAAAAAGCATAGGGAGAGTTTTCACCCTCAATTTTGGGGTGGAAAGTTAGAATATGGAAATAATAGCTCATTTGAAAGAGCTTCTAGAGCTGAGTCGAATGACACCAAAATTAACAAAATCTGAGTTGATTAAACAAAGTTATGGTCGTTTGTTTAGGCTCCTTACCTAGGGTCCTCATGGATGTTTATACCGCTGCGGAAGCAACTGGACGGACATGTTGACCGTAGCGATAATAAGAATAGGGTTATGTTGCTAGTGCAGAACCCAGCCAACCGTTATCCGTCGGACCTTTTAATATTTTTTTTGTAGAAACTTCAAAAAAATTTTCAATTAAAAATATAAATCCACAAATTTGTTTTTAAAAGGAAGTACTACTAATTGATGATGAAAAAATAATAGCCAAACATTTAAATAATTTACAAAATATTTCCGACCCGAAAAAGAAATGGATTAGTATAAAAAGATCGTGTATATATGCAGACACCGCTATATTGAGCAGACTGCATGTGGGTGATTAAAAAATAATAAATCAGAATTTGTAGATAATCAGAATTTATAAAATAAAGAATTTTAAAAACCAGAATTTATGAAAATCAGAATTTATGAAAATCAGAATTTATAACATCAGAATTTGTGAAAACAGAATGTCAAAAATCAGAATTTGTGAAAATCAAAATTCATAAAAATCAGAATTTTTGAAAATCAGAATTTATAAAATCAAAACACAGATTCTAAAAATCAGAATTATTTTTATTTATTCAACATTAAAGCTTACCGAAATTTCTGATGATGGCTGTAATACGGCTGGCAACGGCGCATCATTCGAACTGAATGGATGGCCAATTAATTTATTTTCGCTACATTTGTTCTGGGAAAATTATGGACCAGAAATAATAAGAGATAATAGGAGCAAAACAGAAGCCGAAATTTATGAAAGTGAAAAAGGTAAAGAATGAAGGGTTTTAAAAATCAGAATTTGTAAAAAATAATCAGAAAAATAATCATAATAGAGCAGAAAAATTTCAAAAAAATAAGAACACATTTAGAAAATCAGAAAAATTAGAACAATTTCAGAAAATCAGAAAAATCAGAACTATTTCAAAAAATCAGAAAAATCAGAACAATTTCAGAATAAAGGATTTTTTTGATAAATCGTATGAATCAGAATTTAAAAAATCAGAATTTAAAAAAATCAGAATTTTTGAAAATC